ATCGAGTCATCAGGGGGACCTGCCTCTTCCTCGAGCATTCCGGGGATATTATCGAGCATGTATCCCGGAGGCCACATCATCTCCCAAGTCCGGAGCACGTACTCACCAAGCGCATCGGTGCCTGATTCAAAAGAGGAGGAAGAGGTCAACTCCAGATTAAGCAGCCGAATCATTGACTCGTCAATGTCGTCGCGCGTCAGACTAGTGTAAAGCACCGACACGTCATTCGGAGGCTCATTCAAGGCACTTGGGGACAAACCTAATGCAACTCGTGCAACGCTAGGTCATGCGCCCTAAAACAAGGCGCGAAGAGGAAGAAGGCGCAAAGGGGACAACGAAATCAGAGAGAAAATTAGGGAATCACCAGAGTCGGCGGCGGGGGCGTTCGATGGAGCGCCCGCATAGGACGTTGGTTGTTGAGAGGAAGCCATGGTGAGGCGTATGAATTGGAGCGCAAGCACTGACTCGGCGGATGAAACAGAGGCATGAAGCGAGGGCTAGAGAGAGAAATAAGAGACAAGGTGTTTTGCTTGGTGTGAATGAGAAGGAGGCTGAGGGGGATGAATATATAGGAATGAAGGAGAGGAGAGAGGAAGAGCGAGAAAACGAGGAGTAATGGCTCCGCTTGGAATTCAAAATTCAAAATTCGAATCAAAGCGAGGGGGGCATGGGGAAGACCAATGGTCACGTCAAATCGTTAAAAACAGAAGCCCAACAGCCACGTCAAATCATTAAGAGAGGGGGGCACGGAAGCCCAACAATCGTAGCGGGTAGGCAAAAAGTAGGGGAAGCGGAAAGCCAAACAATGATGCCAAATTGATGAAGGCAGACGCCCAATGTTGCTCGTATGGCACGAATAGGGAAGAAAGCCCGAGAGTACAACAGAGTGAACCTAGCAAGTAGAAGAGGCGCACGAACGCCAAGGAGGAACGGGGAGAGGGCACAAGAAACAAGAAGACGCGCATTTGCAAGGAGGCGTTCTAAGCAGTTGGGAAGCAAGGGCAGTGGGGCGTATTGTGTATCCTAGAACCAGAAGGTAGTTAGGCCCCTAATATGGAGCATTAGGCGCCTAACTGGGGGAAATTGTTGGGGATATTGTCAAGGCCCAGCCCAATCGGTGAAACCCGGAGAAAGATGGCCCAAGCAGGGGTCAGCCCAAAGCGAAGAGGGAGAAATGAATTTATTTTTTCTTACAATTTAGTACCCAAACTTCATTTTTTCACAAATAGGTTTAAAAATTTCTTAATCGCTATTCGTCACCCTAAAATTAAAAAAAAATCTCCTTCAACCATACTAAATTGATACATTTACCCCTAACCCCATTCTAACCTAGCAAACAATCCTTCCCCTCAACCCCAAGGCCCAAACCCGACCCTCACAATCTGGGCAAAAAAAAAAATTGATGTTGTCGCCGCCCCAGAACTGCTCCCTGCCGCCAACCCAAGAACTGCTCGTGTGAGGTCCCCGCTGTTATTCTTGCTATTGTTATCGAGAAAAAGGAAAAAGGAGGATGAAGAAGAAGGTCGATAGCCATCGTCGTTGCTGCCGGGATCGCTCCCTGCTGCCCAGATCGCTCCCTGCCGCCGGAATCGCTCCGCATCGCTGCTGCTATTCGTTTTTTGTCGCCGACTAAGAGGAGGAAGGAGGGCGAAGAAGAAGGAAGGCGGCCCATGGTTGTTCCCGAACACGATCCGCCGTCAGAAGGAAGACGAAGACGCGTGCAACAAAGGTTTTTTGTTTTTTTCTTCGCTGACGACGGATTTTCAACCCATCCAACGCTGGTGTGGAAGTGGGTTTTGAGCATGTTCAGGGTGGGGTGGAGGAGGGTAATTGACGACGATTGGGCCTCCGGTAAGGTGGCCGACTCCGACGATAAGTGGATGTATGTGTTTGTTTTAGAGTTAAGTGATTGAAAGACAAAAAAAAAACTGAAAGCATTAGAGTAAATTTAACACAATTAAGGCGAGGAATAAGGATTTTTAGGGTAAGGAATAGCAATCCCCAAAATTTGGATAGAAAAATTATATTTTAGTACCTTAATATTTTTTTAGATTTCATTGTAGTACCTAAACTTTTACACTTTACAAAGAGATCTAATTTTTTGGTATGAGAAATTTCAAATCACTTGTTGTTATGGATAGTAGGTAAAATAGATAAGAATGGATTTTGAGAATAAAACCTAAAACTAAAAGAACTATAACCCTCCAGGGTCAGAATGTGACCCGATCCTATTTTGGTTTGGAAAACTTATTGACCATGTCCGACCCTCATAATTGGGACGGGCAAGTGGGTAGTTAGAACTAGGGGTGGAAATCGGTACGGTATCGGTATCCCAATACCAAATACCGAAATCCCGAATACTGAATTACACCCTAGAATTAATCTCAATCCCAATCCCTAAATAATTTTGGTATCTCAATCGCAATCCCTAAATATTTCGGTATCCCAATCGGTACTTCGGTATCCCATTCGGTATTATCGAATACGAAATTAATTACCTATATAATTAATAATTAAATATATAAATTAGATTTGATTGTTTAATATAGGTCAAAAAGACTAAACAAATAATTTTGAGTTTGGCTAGAGCTAGGATATGGATAAGGAGAATGGAGTAGAGGTGGCATCTCAAGTTTTTTTCATGGGCAATCTTTAATTTGACGAATTGGAGGCTGAGAGAAGACTAATACTAGTGTTTGCTTTTAGGTGTTATGAAAATAACAATATATTGGTGGTTGGGGGTAGTGTAGTAGTGAATGAGAGAGTCTAGGTGAGAGGATAAAATACACACTAGCTTATATATCGGTATTGTTCGGTATTTTGGTATATACCGATCTCAATCCCATAATCCCTAATACCGAATAAAAATTGAAATTGAATCCCAATCACAATCCCAAGAAATAATACGTGTATTCAGTAATACCAAATATAGACAAATTCGATACGGTATTCGGAATATCCCAAATACCGGTACCAAACTTCCACACTAGTTAGAACCATAGTTATAGCCCAACTAGAACCATACTTATAGCCCAAAGTTGCAAAAGTAAGGACAAAATCAGGCCAGACCAAAGTTGAACCAGGACCGAATTGGTGTGGGCTAGAAAACCTTTAGCTGGCCCTGGGACTGGGAGGACATGAGGCAAAGCCTAACTTTGGACCGAATTCTTTAATTTTATTGGGCTGGGCGAAAATGAAATTATATTTGTTGAGTTGCAATTCTCGCTTTTCCATGAGCCCGCAAAGTCTCAAGGGCCACAATATTTGCTCTTCAGCCGACATCGTTGCAACATGCAATGAATGTTGGCATGTTGCCTTAGCAAGGAACGATAGCTACCTAATATTAAGAGGCGAGAAATGGGTTAACGATTAATCATGGAAATGGAAATTTTGAACTGGAATAAAATCACAATAACAGCTCATAAAAGGCCAACAAGAAAACACAACAAAACCTACCCCACCACCCAAAACCGTCAATACAATAAATAAAACAAATAATTATCTTATCTTGTGGCAATTCGCAGGTATTGATTCGGCTGATGAATGCGAAAGACTAGGTTCACACCGTGGGAGGTATCATTCTGAAGGAGGTTCAGTTTTGCAAATATCTCTCCGGCATATCTCGTTTCATTTCGCTCTTCATAGGTATAATATGTTTGCTCATATTGTGGCAAAATATATCATTTTGTCGTTGGTTCAACATCTTGTTGACCAACGCGTTTTACTTTTTAGTTTTTTACTGTTTAATTATGACCTTTTGACCATCTACGTATTCTCGTATTTGGTTATTCTTTCTAAAATATATAGGGAAAAATGGGAGGGTTGTCATGTGCTGCATGCGCGCGCAATTGGGTACGCAGCTTCCCAAGTCGGAAACCTTGGCCAATCGCCGCTCTGTAATGTAAGGCAAGTTGCAAGTTGCGACCGCCCCACTGAGCCAGCCAGGTCCAACCGATTCCAGGTGGCCCGCGCCACGATTCCCCACCTTAATTCCCTTTTATCCTCCTCATTTTCGGTCCCTCGGTTCAAGAAGCTACGAGATTGAAAGGAAGTACCGATACCCAAATCCCCAACCAATATTTCCGTATTCATACGCCTGCCTGACCAAACCAATTCTGAATCCGACGAAATCCCAATTCACTCTCTGTCGCCTCATTACAAGACCGCTTACTCATCATCCTCTCTTCTTCGTCTTCTTCCTCAATTCTCCCTCCTGGTTCAACTCCTTTCTAGCTCACCCGCCCTCCTCTTTTCCTCGGAATTTTTTATTATGCGACTTTCCCTTTCGCTTTTGAGTTGTTCACGGGCTGTCATGATCGTGATTGACGGATAATCCCGGTGAGGTTGGTAGTTGGTTAAATCGCAAAATGGGGTTTTTCTTTTGGTCGGAAGGAAGCGAAATCTGAAGCCTTTTTTTTTTATCTTCGTCGCCGGCGTCTCTCTGCTTCCTTCTTTCCCCCCTTCGGGAGGCATCGGACGGAATTCAGATTCGCTTTTGGCGTTCACAGATGGGACCCTAATTCTACTACCCCAATTCTGACATCTTCTGACCTAAAAGACAAACCTGCTGCGGCTTTCTTTTCAGCAGCTTCCCTTGTCGTTTCCAGTGGCGGAGATTCAAATTCCCCTGAGGTTAGCCCCTCTCTTTCTCTCTCCGGCGCGTCTTTTGCATTAATTGCTTCTCTCTTTCGCCTGCTGTTTGTGCCGGAGGATTTTGGTCTTGCGTGCTCTGCAAATTACAGATGGGTTTCACGTGAATTACAGTTCTTCGTTGTTTTTTTTTTTTTTGGCGGGGTTGACTTTGGTATGGTTTACGCGCATCCCTCTTCATAGAATTCACCGGCGATTTATAATTAACTAACGATTCCTTCTCCCCTTCCTGCAGATTTCCTTCGCTGGATGGAGTTCTTGATCTTGTGAAAAGAAAAAGGGACATGCAGATTTAGAATGCTTGAAATCAAAGAGCTGTAGTTCCATTTCTTGTATCCCGGAATCTCCAGATGGACTTGCCCTCCGGCAGCAAGAACCCGAGACTCGTACTGAGGAATTTGGATTCTTTACTCTACAAGTGCTTGGCTCTAATCGGCCTTGCTCTGTTTTTCAGAGCCGTCGTTGTTCTTCCCCTCTCTAGCTATGGTGGGATGCGCCCACAGAAGCTCGATTTGGGTCAGAGCTTGTCTTCTGACAACGGAATCCGTCAGAACAAGTTCTTGGAAGTGCCGCAGATAGTATGGGGGCTAAACAATCAGAAGATAGCATTTGCAAGAGCTTGCCTGACTGCTAGAATGCTCAACCGCGCGCTGCTAATGCCTAGCCTCAGTGCATCTCTGTTTTACAAGGAAGTGGACCGCCTACAGCCCATCTCCTTCGACAGAGTTTTCCAATTTGAGAAGTTCAATTCGCTCTGTAGCGGGTTTGTGCAGTTGGGTCGCTACTCGGATATCAGAAATGAGACTGGAGTTTATGAGGTTCAGAAGGGGAGTGGAAGGCGGTGGACGGTTCAGAGGGATCTGGATCAATTGAAACAGGTGAGTATGGATCCTGTTGATGGCCATGAAGTCCTGAGAATTGTTGGGAAGAACCCATTTCTGTGGCAGGACCATTGGCCAGTTAAAGACTATGCCAGAGTGTTTGAATGTTTGGTTCTGGTAGATGAGATAGCCAGAGAGGCAGACAGAGTCGTGTCCAAGATTAGGGATACTGGGAAGCAATTGAGGTCTGGAGATGACGATGAACATGATGGCTTGTCTTCGCAGCAAGTTCCTTACATCGCGGTTCACATGAGGATAGAGATAGACTGGATGATCCACTGCAAGAAGTTGGAGCAAAGATCAAACATTACCCAAATTTGCAGCAGCAAAAAGGAGATCATGGAAAGAGTTGGAAACATTAGGGGGATTAAACCACCAACCATGGTCTATCTTGCTGTCGCCGATAGCCTGTTGGAAGATTCTTCGATACTAACCGGCTGGAGCGAAGGTTTGGTTCCTATCGAGAAGAAGAAACTTGGCGTGGACGGAATCTACAAGAAGTACCCATATCTAATTCAATCAGCTATTGATTATGAGGTGTGCTTGAGGTCAGATGTGTTTGTAGGGAACAGTTTCTCGACGTTTTCGAGCCTCGTTGCGCTCGATAGAACTCAGAAGACGATTAGGATGGGCTTGGCGACGGGCAGCAGCTCCTGTGGAGTGGATGTGAGATGGCCTTCTTATGCATACAACATTTTAGGTGAATCAAATGGGCCTCACAGATGGATGACAAATATGTCTGATTCCAGCCTTCAAGCAATCAGCTATGGTACGAATGTCATCTCTTGTTGAAAGTTTAAAAGGGGCATCTCTGTGGGATCAGCAATGGCTGCCCTGGACCAGGCCAGGAGCACTCTCCAGCTGTGATTAATTGGTGCTCTGTTGATATAGAGTTTTCTTGGTCGAGAGAATCGGCGCTGCGTGAAGTACAGCAGTGACTATGAAATCGTTGGGTACAGTTTTTGATTAGTGAGATTTTACACTTGTATGTTCATGGTTCAATTCTTTATCCTGTTTGGTCATCTTTTTCCTCTGTTCCTATTGTGTTCATTCTTACAGAAAACCCAAACGCATATCTCTCCAAAATTCATTCTCTTAGCTCGAACTTCTTACCATGAATTGATGATCAACTCCATTGAATGTTGCTGGCTGTTGAAGACTTAAAGAGAGCCAGGCCGCCCCACCACCAGGATGGGAAACTAGAACGTGTTGACATTTTTAATTGACCGTTTGCATGCAATAATTGTCACTTCCTGATCCCTACACAACGTGCAAAAGGACAAGCCGTCTTTGTTGTCCAGCAAAGGGAATATTTTGGGAAGAGAAGAACGGGATAGAGGACAGGCCGACAGAAACAGAGATGTGGGCTTCCCATTTCATAACGTTAATATAGGTTGGGATTTCGTTATTTAGATGAGATTTTGGAAAACAGAGCATTGTTGTTGCGTGCACCTTATAATATAAACCCACCTAAAAAAGACGAAGCAATAAGGCAAAAGAGAGGTAAAAAGGGGAAGAAAGGATCCCACTGAAGTTGCCTCGGGAGCAATCAAGGGATTGCTTCTTGTTGATGACTTCTTTTTGCCGCAACACTACTGTCTCATCGATTTGATTACAATTGTGAGGAAAGTTTATATTTTTCATTTTTTGCTTAATTGGGTGGGATGACGATTCTGAAGGGGATCCGATCCGCTTATGGTCTCGACGATGCCTAATCTTCGTTTTGGAATACGTCCCAAATCTGTCTGCAAAATTGTCGTTGCGTGCATCTAACTGCCACCAGATGGTCCGTCCACCCATGCTTTTTTCTGTGTAATTTCCAACCTTTTTATGGAAGAATCAACAAGTAACCCTGATCTGATGGGTAGTTTTTCCGGCTTGAGGTGGTGATGTTCCAATACTGCAATGGGGCCTCTGACGACGACACCACAGAAGCTTTATTGCTTGTTAGTTTAAGTTGTCTACTTTTGGCCGTGTAATGTGTATGGGATGCAAGTGCAAGAAGCATTTTATAGCATTTGTACTTCGCCGTTGTATACCGTTGATTTACTTTTCCTTTCCCTTTTCATCCCTACATATATATATATATATCTCTACTCTACTCAATTCTACTCTACACAGAAATGATTAATCCATCTTTACCGGTAAAACTCAGGAAAAGCAAATATAGAAGAGGGCAGCAGATGTTACCCTTTTTTATCTGATGTAATAACAGTAACTTTCATCTGTTTCCTTTTTTCTATCAAGAGAGCAAAAAACCACAACTCTACTGGATTTTCTACTCTCTGACTGCAGCAGCAGCAACTGTAGAATAACAGCATAAGCAGCTATCAAGGGTCTAGAGAACTGAAATATTCCTCAATTTTATGCAAACTCCTGTGCAAAATGCAAGCACAGGAAATCGAGTGACAACCCCCCGCCTTTTGCACCATTTCTCTTCACCTCCTCTCGAGCTCTGATGGCGGGAAGCTGGAATGATTAGCTTTGTCCTAAAGAAAACCGTAAATGAGTTGAGTTGTTCAGTATATATTTGACTTTCTTCACTGAAGGAAATCCTCGTAGTAGTTGTCACTGATCACGGATACAAATCTCTCGAGCCATGGGAGCCGGTGGAGGTCTTTCATGGTGTCCACGTATGAATCTGTACAGCGTGGAGGGGATTGGGATGTTGGATGGTGATCGCTCAGGCTGAATCCGCCGGAGAGGAATCTTTGGATCAGTGCAAGCTGTGACCTTTCTTGGTCTGAATATGCATCCATTAACATGGGCAGTGAATTAAAAGTCTCCCATGCCCATTGTTCGGACTCTTGCACAGACTGTGTGATTAAATCGTCAGAATTGTTGTCTTCTTCATTCCAGAAGGCGCAGTGGCAGGTCTGTTGCCGATCTCTGTACTCAGCACCACATGAGTAGCAGAACTCATGACCACACCTGCAGAAACAACATATTTTGGTCATTGAAAACTAGGGTAAGAATAGAAGAAACAATTAGTTGAACACCTTGCCGCCTAGTCATGGCAGTTTTTATCTCGCCCGCTTAAACCAACCTTTCCCTACCTATTTTGCGCTGGGCAGGGCATGAGAACTCCATTTTGCCCCGCCTCCTTCCCTATCTGTTGAGTCAACCTTGTATCCACCATTTTGCTCGACTACTCTTATTTAATTTCTACTCAATCTATTTTTCACTTTAATGTAAGAGCCTCGATTTCTCGATACTCATTAATCATGTTACCCTCTCTATTTTTAATAAAAACGTATTGTTTATCGATTTTTTATGAAAGAATGAACTTGTTATGCATTTTTTCTTTAAAAGACACATACCCAAATCGACCAACTTTACCCAGCCCCTGCCCCAAGTCAAAGTACCCAAGGTATTAAGGCATCCGCCTAGCCCTCGACTATTGCCATTCCTAATTTCAACTAGCACGAAAACCTCAGTGGAGCTCTTACAAGTGATTACCACGTACACTAGCAGATGATTCACACAAATCTCCAAGTTGCAATCATCCTTTCAGGAAAACATTTTATAGCTTCAATGACTCAGCATCTGCTACCCCTATTCATCAGACTTCTCCTATCCTCAAATTATAGTAAACCAAACCATATCGTTCCACAGCTCACTTGCTGGTTTTGACTACATTATCCAATATACTAGTGAGAGAATGTAACCAATCCATAGATTCAGGTACCGCAGGTAATCATTGCAACAGAAGCAAACAAATGGAAAACCAGACATCCAACTGTCAATCAGTGTACTTACCAGCAGGTCATGTGATAGCAACCCTGAGTGAGCTCAGTCATTCTACGACATTGCGTGCAACGCCTCCACCTTTTATTTTGTGCAAGGCGGTGCAAGGTAGCGTCAGTAGCATGTCTTTCCTCAAACGGAAGGTTTTGATACTCATCGCAGCTCAATGAAGAGTGCCATGGAACACTGCATCCAACACAGATGAACCTCTGACAAACTGGACATTCAACACAGAAGCTATTATCCGACTGACTTGAAGAACTTGCCCTTGCAGACAAACATTCACGAGGATCTAGCAAAACTGAACAATCTGAATAAGGACAATAAATTCTATCAGAATGAAGAGCATCATCAACTTCTGCTAGGGCTTCCATGAAAGATTCATATGAAGCATGAGGAAGAAAAGATCGACACTCCGAGATGGACAGGTAATACTTGCATCCCAGCTGAGGGCATCTGATGGGTACTTGAGAAGAAGACTCCTGCATTTTGGCTTCGACAAATTTTGTCATACAATGTGAACAGAACTTGTGAGAACACTTGAGTGTGATCATCATTGGCAGCATTTTGTCCTCAAAACAAAAAGAGCAATTGCCATGTGTTTTTTTATCTCCACTTCCAGGAAACGAAACAATGCCTACTGCTATCTGAGCTAGATGCAATGGTCTCTCCAGAGCACAGCTGGGAACGAGTTTCAGTAAAAATGTTTCCAAACTACCAGTGAGCTCAACGATCCTTTCCCTCAATGCTATCAGAAGTGGATTCTCGATTTTCTCCTTGTGTGTTATCTGCGTAAACAATAATATAATGGAATTTGAAGAAATAAGATTATCACTAAAAAGCTACACTTAAAAAACAGAAAGGAAACAAGTAAGAAGCTGCAGCGCGAAGAGTGTGCTCATACAAATTTCTCTTCATAGTCATTATCACTGACCACCAAGAAATTACAAAAACAGTTCCACAAAACAAAAGGGGGGAGAATCTATTGCATTAACCAGAATGCAGAATGATGAATGAAAATTCCACAGCAACCAAAATCCGTTCCGTCTAGTTCAGGCTGAATCAACAAGTTTACGTTGTTACAGCTCAGGCATGTATCAATATGTCAGAATAACTAACCCAAAAAAAAAAAAAGAGGATGTCCTTATCAACGCATAATAAGTCCATACAGATAGAGGAACGACATTAAGAAATAAACAAATTGAGAGCATTCCCAAACTTAGAAGTATGAATTGGGAACTTTTAAAGGGTAGGAAACACAGGCTAGCAAGCCACAACAGCATCCTGAAATTCTTAATTACTAATATAGAAGCATAGTTATTTAGCCTCGTAAAGTTCATCACAGATGCTGCAGCATTGAAGACAAAGTATGACGAATAAAAGAATATGCTGACATGCCACCTAAACAGCAAACGACATCTGAAGCCTAAGAGTTCCTAAAGCAAACCTTCACCATGCGTAAAGAACCTCATGGCTGATCACAGTAGCTGAATTAATTGGTGGCTAACAGCACAAGCAATGAGAAGATAACTAACCTGGTTATACAACAAACTGGAGTCCGTGGATGCATAGACATGGCGAAAGTTATTCTGCACGGCCTCAGTTAGGCCATCCATAAGCGCCAAGTAGTCAGCAACAGAGGACTCAACATAGAAATCAAGCTTCTTTTGCACCTGAACAAGGGGAGCCTTTTCCTGTCTTTCCATTACCACACCAATTCCAGAATAGCCAGGCCCGGAGTGCCCTGAATCAGTTATTGAGACCCCTTTGAAGAACATCTTCACCGAAAACTCGTCAAGATCAGCTTTTGGCTCTTCAACCTTGACAATTTCTTCGGCCTCCTTCCAAACCTCATCATCTCCACAACAGCTCCGAAAATCTTCCTCATCTTCGTCCAATTTATTATTTTCCCTAAATACATTCACCGGAGAGCCATCACTGATGAGAAGAAGAGCCGGGTCTTCCATATCCAGGTCCAATACTACTCTAGAACCCAGATACTAGTTATAAACGCCAAGGTGAGAAGAACCCAAAAAGCTCAGCAATCAGCATGGGAAATCCTTTGTTCCGCAGCTGCGTTTACCCAACAGAAAAATAAGAAATCAATAAAATTGAAATTTGCATACAGATCCACAGAGAAGAGTCGAAGGAAACCCTATGAATTAACGAGAAAATCCTAAGATCAACCAGTGATCTTAAAGCCAGTAACTACAAATCAAATTCAAACAAGAACCCATTACCCAGATCAATCCAAATCGATCGGAACCTAATCAAACTCCCGGGAAATTTTCAAAGAGCGATACAGCCACCCACCCTCCCAACCCCCAGTCCATCCAGAAAAGAGAAAGAACAAAAGGGAGACTCAAACTAATAGCAAGTAGCTTTCCACTCCACGCGACAGAGCAATGAAAATCAAACGCAACAATCTCCGGATAGAATACCCCGATTCCAGCAATTAAACGAAGAACAGTGATGTGAATCGGGAGAGACAGAAGTGGAAAAAACACAAGCGGAAAGGGACGAAATGAAAGACAAGAAGTGAAGCGTCGAATTACCATGTGGTGTTCGGAGGACGAGGATGCGGAGAAAACTAACTCGGAGCATCTATCTGGGTGATGAATCGGTAGGGTGTTGAATTTTTAACTGATAGGAGGAATCCCTGTGGCCACTGGTCACTGGTCAGGCCCAATTTTCTCTCTTTTTTTCTTTTTTTTTTTTTTTTTTTTTGCTCTCCTAGTTTTCCACAGGCTGTTTACTTCATAATTTGTCATTATTCGCTAAAGCCTAACCTAATCCAATCCAGAATTTCGAGTGACTTTTCCACTTTTTTTTGGAGAAAAGAAGATTAAATATTTTAATGATGAGAGAGAGACTGTGATTTTTGGGTGGAAGGAGTAAATGCTATGGTTTTGAGTTTTGAGCTGAGGCACGGGTTTGCGTTACCGGAATGGCGGAAGTTGATGGCTTCACTATGTTATCTAGTGGTGTCACGAGTTCGAATCGGTGAAAGTGATTGTCCAGCGCCGCTTGAATGGTTTGTGAAATGAGAAGTGATGGCGGTCGCAGAAACTAGTGCTTTGTAGTTTGTTCCCGGTCTTTAAAATATATCGAATAGCGTATTGAATTTATCATTATTTTGTATTATCGAATATCTGCTTATTTTTTAGAGATTGTGATTGGGATTCATTTTGGAGTGCTATTTGGTATTCGGGATTGGGATCCGTATATACCGAAATATTGAAAAATACCGAAAATTAAAAATTAATAAAATATAGCACATAACCTTTGGTCTTTTTTTTTTGTCAAGCACATAACCTTTGGTCATTCCTCACTCTTTCACAATTTAGAAGCGCCCCCATCCAACTCAAATCCAGTTTAAGTCATTCTCGTCTCTTACCTAATCTCATGTTATTTTCATAACACCAAAAGGCAAATACTAGTATTAGTCGTCTCTCATCCTCCAATTTGTCATATTAAAGATTACAAATGACAAGAATTTGAGGTGTTATCTCTCCTCCATTCTCATTATTCATATCCTATCTCTAGGCAAATTCAAGACTCTTTGCTTAGTCTCTTCGCTCTAAATTAAACAATCAAATCTAATTTATATATTTAATTATTAATTGCAAAGATTATTAATTTTGTATTCGATAATACCGATTGGGATACTGAAGTACCGATTGAGATACCGAAATATTTAGGGATTGAGATTGACTTTAGAGTGTAATTCGATATTCGGAATTTCGGTATTTGATATTGGGATACCGTACCGATTTCCACTCCTAGTAGAAATACTGACATCTAAACGTAAGTTTTAAAGTGTAAATTTTACTATAATTGCATTTGAAATAGCGCGATTTTACATAAAAGGTTTCCACCTTTTGTCTGCTAGTGATGAGAATGTCAGATTACCCACCAGACCCACTTTTTAGGATTTTCCACTCCACTATAGTCTTAGACTATCCACAATGGTGGAAGGGAAAAAAGGAAAAAAGGATGGGAAAAGTGGGAAAAAAGGATGGGGAAGTGATAATGGTCACAATAGGTGGTAGGGAAAAAAGGGTATTGGGGAGAGGTTTTTTTTTTCAAAATCAATCTAGAGTTGATATGGTAACTTTATTTTGATAATTTATTCATTATTTTTATATATGTAGTATTAATTAATTAAGACGAACATTTTGATGTATATTTTTTTTTTATTTGGACATAAAAAGTTTTATCACTAAAATCCAATAACTCATAAAAATCCAATAAGAAAACCATAGAACAATTTTAAAAAAAAAAACAAAAAAAAAGCCACCCACATGGTCCTCCCTTCCCTTCCTCCTCCCACCCACCTGGACCCACTTCCCCTCCTTCTTTTAACCTCTAGGCTCTAGCGCAGGAGAAACCCTCCCCTTATTTCCCTTTTATCCTTTTTTCCATAATACCCACCCCTATTGTGAGCCATCTTCTCCTTTTTTTCCCCTTTTATCCTCTTTTTCCCTTCTTGCTGTGGACAGTCTTAGACTAAATCCATTCCTAAAATCTATTTACATTGCCAAACTCTAAAAAAATACATTTTTAGCTTCCCAATACACATTTCTCCGCTAACCATACCAGAAGTGAAATTTGACTACCCACCTCATTTCTCAATTTATTTCAATATATTATACTTATTTTTCCTCTATTTTTTATGTTTCACTTTAAATTTTTATAGTTCGTTATCAATTTTCAAAACAAATTTCTAAATGTAATTGGTTTAAATTCCGAGATTAGTTTTCCTCCAAAAACAAGTCGTTAATTTGTTATCCCAAATATAACCATTTCTTATAGCGTTTCCTTATTACCATCTTTTGTCATTTTGTGTAGCATATAGCTTTATAAATGACAGCTCTTCATTTGTCATCAACTCATTTAAAACTTCTCCTCATTTCTAAAACAAACACATTTATCATGAGTATCATAAATAGCTCATCATCTAGAGGAGACGAAGAAATTGAATAGTACGAACAGTATCACCATCTACATTTAAGTTTAATCCGTCCGAGGCTAGTTGAAGGTTTATCAAGTCTTATACAAACATCCACTACATAACCCCTCAATCAATATAAATTTAGGAATCACAAATTTAAAAATAAACCACACTTTTCTACATTACTCAAAATTAAAGAAAGAGCAATTGCATAATTATTATCTTTTTTCTCTTTTTCATAAAACTGGGTTGGAAGTTGAGAACTAAACTGCCTAATCTTCTCTGAGTATATTTATAGCCCAAAGGTTTTTTTCCCCCTCCATTTCAAATTTCCTGCAACGAGAGAGTGAAACATACACGAATCTAAAATCTGAAAACCATATGACTTTTTCAACGATTAGCTGACCACTGAATCTCCCATAAGTACTTATTGTGTGTTTTGATACTTTTATTTTCATTGTTTTAATTGTAGTTTAATACTTAATTCAAATTTCTATCTATCTTACAAAATAGAGTTATAGGTATAATATGCCCTTCTACTATCCCGTTTTATCAAATATGCTCCTCTACTATTTTTTATATCAAACATGCCCCCTGTACTTTGGAAAAATGATCAACCATACCCTTTTGTTAAAATTTTCATCCGAAAATCGTTAACCAAGACCAAATTTTGGTTTGGGCGACACAAATGTCTAAAATATCCCTAATAATTTCACTTTAGAACTTTTTTTTTTGGTTCTTTTATATAGCCAAATAATTCTAATAATTTCACTTTGACGAGACCCAAAGAAATAAAACAAGGACCAAAACTGACATTTTTCCTCCCATTTGTTGATGTTGGGTCGTCTAAATGCCGGTTCAATCATGATTGACAATTTTTTCAATGAAAATTTCAACAGAAGGGCATGTTTGATAATTTTTCCAAAGTACAGGGGCATGTTTGATGTAACCAAATCTTAAAGTTATGGTTTTTCTTCAACTTGCTTGGAGCATTTCAGATATGCTTCAATTGTTCTCTCTATGTAGTTGACTCTCAGAAAAATAAAAAAAATCTTGCTGATTTGTGTTTGATTGTAGTTAAATATAGGGTTCTACTCCCTTCTTCAAATCCTTCGGTTTAGTTGTTGGCTCCGAGCTCATCAGGCTCCGTCCTTTGGCTGTTCATACAGAATTAAGTGGATTATAGTAACTCCCTGTCAGTTCAATATTATTATTTTTCGACTATTATCTATTTTTTTGCTTAGAAATAGTATGAACATTTGATACAGTACATAGTTTGATTACTTGATTACTATTGAAGTGGAATTGATCTAGCTGATTGGCATTCATGTAGTTTACTAGCATGAAGTTTCTTCTCTTTGAATTACAAAAATATGCATAGGCGGGTATTCGAAGAAAACCCCCTTGCTTGACCTTATCCCTTTTGCTCATCTATAAGTGGCTTTCTTATTATTATTATTATTATTATTATTATTATTATTATTATTATTATTATTATTATTATTATTATTATTAGTTGTCCTTCCTAGAATGTATATGCTTAGGTTGTTTTTCGTATCTGCAAACTTTTGAGGGTTTGAGGAGAAAATTGGAATGCCATCAACCTTTAACTTATATCATATCAATTGTTGGAATGGGAAATATGGGTTGTCATTGACATAAAGTTGAACGAATAAGCCTACTCAGATATGATAGTGAATTTAGATCCAAATTTATTGATATTATAGATAAAGTGATTCATTAATGGATTAGATAAAAGGAACTATGAACCTGAGATATCAGAGCGACGAACCTTTTTAATACTTTGTGTGTTTGTTATTTGATGTTTTTTACGGTAAAATTTATGATGGGCAATAGCTTTGTTATGAGCGTTTAGAAAAATAGGGATGAAAAAAGGAACCTTCAATTGGAAAGAGCTGATTAGACCTATAAAACGCTTTACTGCCTTGAAAGAGCAATTGATTTTTTATTGTATATTTTCCATGTCAAAATGTGTTTGCTTGAAAACAGTTGTGGTCATTCTGTCATTAATCACCTCGAATCTTTACCCTTCAAACGTTAAGTCAAACCAATTCTCCTTTCCCTAATTAAGTAGTCAACAGAAGTGTTTGACAATTGCAGCGATTGAGTATTAAATTGAATGTCGGATATTTGGCAGCAGTTAGTTGTGGGATGCTTGCAGGGGGTATTTTATTTTTTTTTGGTAGAAGGGGTATTTTTTTATAGAGGTGGTTAACATGTATATTTGAGGTAACCATCAATTAAGAGACTGATTTCTTTGTATTCTTCTGATGTTTTGCTTCATGATATAGGGTTTTGATATCAAGTTTTTGGTTGTTGTATGCATCCATACGGGTCTCTGGCAATGCGAACTAAAACTATCCTGAAAATGGAGCAAAAGGTAAAAAAATAAATGAAACCAAAAGGACGGAACACAACTACAAATCACTACATGCTTCTGTCTCCTTCACTGAAATGGGCATTGACAACGGCATTGAGATCACCAGCATGCTCTGAAACACAGTCAAGCCTTTCCTTGATCCTGATACTGTGTCGAAGATTCATGTGATTGTGGTTCATCCTTAGATTTAAGATATGTGGTGTTCATGGTTGAAGTGAACAGAATTCGAATATGCTCACTTTCTGGTTTTAATTGCAGGTTCTTGGTTACAAATAGCAGAGCAAATTACTTGAAATAGCATACTCAAGGTATCATGATGGAGTCATGGACTACTCCAAGCTTGACGGGTGGTGTTGGTGGATTGATAGTAGTTAGTGTTAGGTGTTACTAGGTTAATTAGTCTTGGGTTTAGCATGTTAATGGGTTAGTATGGCTACTTAGATTATTAGTATGCATGGACTTAGA